TTACTTAGTATTAAACAAGCACTAGTTAAAAAAAAAAAAGTAACATCCTACAATATGCTATTTCAGTCATTTATTGGTTTAAGAAGTTATTTAAAAATTCAAAATTCTTCAAACAAATATAAAAAAAACTTTATGTAACTTATTAATGAAAGGTTAATCCCGTTATTCTGCTATAGTATTTAAGCTTACTACATTTCTAAAATATCTGAATTAATAGAATGACAATCCATGCATACATATATCCCGTTACAAATCAAATATGCATTTAAGATTTGGCTATTATAGTAGTAAAATAATTGTATTTCTTGTAAACAAATTGAAAACACACTTTTTTCGACAACTTTAAGCATAATAATTATTTCCCTGTTTGCCTAAAAACACAACCTATTTTTATTTCCGCCAAAGTAAAATGCTCAAATTAATATATATTTACATAAATTTTAAAACCTCAAACAGTCTTTTGTTGATGTCGTTATAAAATTTAAAAAAATAAATAAATATTTTGCATAGAACAAAATATGTAATCTTTTTCGATTCAACTAAAATTAAACTAACGTTAGACATTAATATATTTTTTTTTGGAATCTGATAAAGTAAATTAATAAAATTATCAAAATAATGTACATTCATTTTTTTCATTAACAATTTTATAACAAATTTATAATTTTGATGAAAAATTCAAAAATCAAGCTGTTGTGGGTCAAGCTACTATATCTCATCTGCTCCTCCATGTATAGTAATCTAAATTTTAATTTAATAACGGTTTCTTTAAATTGCAATATTACTTTCTTATATTATTTGAATCAACAAAAATTTTAAATTACCCAAACAGATTAGTAAAGTCATAGGTGAAAAACTGCGGGTATTTGATGTTGCACTGGGGATATATTGCGCGATTTTTTCTGGACTTTCGCTTTATCAAACAAAAGTCATTACTCGAGTTTGCAATAATACCATTAATTAGACGTTATTACAGATAACCATCTGTTTATCTCCAATTAATGGGTAAAGAAAACAAGATGTTATGTAACTTGAGTTTCTCATGACAGTGAAAGACATATCAGTGGCAATGATTCTGTCCAACAATGGGAAGAAGGAAAGTCAGAACACCGATTACGCTAGAACTTATCACACATGCTGAACACTACAAATGCGACTCATCTGTAAAATGTTATTCTCCTCAACCTCAAATTCTAAATAACTTGCGTAGTATATGAGCTCTTATGCTCCATTGATTATATCGTGGGTTAACGGAATAGACAAGTGTTTCACTTAAAAAGTGCGTGATTAAATTTTTACAGCTTCAAACTTTTTATGCCATCTTATCTTTATTTCATCTTATAAGAAGTATTTTGCATTGAAAATATGTGAAAAGAACTGTTAACCGTTATTAAATCACATTTTAAGGTACGCTGAATACAAAGAAATAGAGAAATCAGTTTTTTTTTTCCTTCATTTCATTAGCCTTATTATTCCTATGTCTCCAGAAATATCGAATTATTTTTCAAAACACATAGAACTGTTGCATTTTTATGTCTCAAACTAGAAAACATGCTTCCGAGAACAGTAATGACCGCAAGACAATTCATTTTTTAGTCCAAAAGAGCAATTTTCCCTGAAGAACTATTAATTTCGTTTTGGCATTTTGCGTCGCAAACATTAAAAGGCTGTATCACTTTTTATATCGTTGCCACCATATATTACGGCCCTGTCTTATATTTAAAGAAATTAAAAAATGAAGAATCTGCATAAATGTAGGTATGTTTCTCGCATTGTAATAAAACAGCGGTACCTAGAGCATCAAAATTTGAATAATAGTCATTATCAAGATTCGCAGATGCAAAAACAGTGAAAACATTTTCTGTTACATGTGTGTTCCTCTTTTGTGGACCAGTCAGCAGCCAAGCGGTAAAAATCGCTGAACACTGGTAGTTCGGTTTGTGGTTCGAATCGCGGCTAACGGGCTGACTGCAAGAGACTTTCGTGGATTTCCCCATATGTAGCCTGTATATGAGCCAGTTTGCCATGGAAAGTCTTTCACGAAAGCATCTCTCTCCTTAGGCAGGTAGCCCTCTACTGCTGTGCCGCAATCAAATGAAGCAAACCGAACCTTCTTTCGGGGGCTTTTACCCTCTTACCGCTCGGCTGCTGATTGGCGTAAATTATAGGAATATATAATTACAACAGACCAAGTAACACTTCGAAAAAATAAACATTGCGAAAGTCATTGATAAGCAAAATTGATAATCAAAATAAATTAACAATAAATGAATGATAAATGAATTGATAAGCAAAAAAGGTTTGGTTAAGTTTATGTCATTGTGACAAAGACTACAGGGCTATCTCCCTCAAGGTAAGGATGCCTTCGGGGAGGACTTTCTAAGGGAAACTGGCTTGTATGCACGTTACCCACATGGGGTAACCACGAAAACTCCCGTGCAGCTGGCCCGTTCGCGGAATTCGGACGTCGGACAGAACTACTAGTATTCAGCAACTTTACCGCTTAGCCGTTTGTGGGCCACTGAGCAGGAAAGAATTAGTCCTCTTAAGCAACAGAGATTCAGAAAGTCACGTTTTTGGATGTACCCAAGAATATACTTCTCTTCTTCGTATCTAAATTTTCTTCTAGTAGCTTCGTGCGGTTAGTAACCAGGAGAATGCGTGTCTATTAACAACTAAGTAACCTATTAGTATACTTTTGGTAACCGACAGAAAATATATTCATTATTTAATAAATATATCAGCACTGCAAAGTACATTGCCTTACTTTGCAAGGTATTCAATAATTATATTAAAGAAAATATTTGACATAATATCTAAATACTTTTATCAAATTCACGTATTAACATGCCTTAGAAGTTATGCCTTTGTATTAAGGAAGATTTTATATGTTGTTATTGTTACTTATCCTCTTCAACTAAAATTTATTCAAATCAGTATCTGCGAACCCATCATGGGAAGAAGAGAGCGCCACTCTTTGGCTAATGCCTTTGGTCTCTTATAGGTAGGTGACAGTATGATTTCAAATTTTTATACTAATTAGAAATCAAGCTCAATCAAAGTTTGATCAATAGCCACCCCTGGGAGATGAAATCTGAGGGTATCAATTCATTTGCTCCTACCAGCCCTTTACAAGTGGACTTCCGAATTGGCACTTTTAAATGCCACCATTACAAACATCCATTCCAAGTCTTCTAATCGCTGCATCGATCAAGGTTTAATAATATGATTTTATATAAAAGTCGGCATGGTCAACGTTGGACATATTACGCATATTTAAAATAAATGACATTTATTTTCACTCATGTGTGCATATTTACACTGCTGGCCACCCAAATTGCAACACCAAGAAAGACAAGAGATATCACAACAAAATTTATTTAGTAGATAACATGTTTACCAAGTATCAAATGATTAAATTTATAGACTCCTGTGAAATGTGGTTCCTTCCAGAATCAGTATAGCCAGAGTAACCACCATTGTCGGAGATGACCGCTGCCACACGTCTCGGCATTGATTCAAAGAGACTTTGGATGTGTTCTTGGGGTCAGCAGACCAAGCAGCTTCCACACGTGCCAAAGTTGACCTGGTGTGGCGACTTGGGATGTAATCTGGGTCAATCGATCAGAAACCATAGACCAGATGTTTTCTATTGGCGAAAGATTCAGAGAGCGAGCCGGCTAGGAAAGCAATTCAATCTGGAGATTGACGAAGAACCCTTGGACAATGCGTGCCCCGTGTGGTCGCACATTATCCTGTTGAAATATGGCTGTGGGCAAGCCCTGAAGGTAAGGAAGAACAACTGGCTCCAACACCTCGGAGATGTAGCGCTGGCTGTTTAAAGTACCGGCAATGCGTATTAGAGGAGTGTGAGAGTGATATCCAATACCGCCCCATACCATAATACCCGGTGCAGGACCAGTGTGGCTGTGCATAACGCAGCTGTTCAGCATCCTCTCTCCGCGGTGTCTCCAGACACGAATCCGACCATCGTGGTGTTTTTAGACAAGAGCGTGACTCGTCAGTAAAAACAATTTCATTCCATTCTACCCTCCACATCCTTCTTTTATCGCAGCACTGGCGGCGGAGATGTCTGTGGTTCTGCGTCAAGGGTAGACGAAGCAATGGACATCTTGCGGACAGACCACTCTGCTGTAAACGGCGTCGAATGGTAGGCGCAGACACTGGATGATGCGTTACAGACTGAATGTGCTGTGCTATGGTTCGTGATGTGACTAAGCGATCCATCACTGCCATGCGCACAATGTTCCTGTCATCATGCGAAGTGTTGCACTGAGGTGGATGCGATCGAAGATGTCGGTCCGTCGTGCCCTTCTGCATCCAACGATCACATATCCGCATTACACTTGTTTGGTTTCGTCCAACACGACTACCGATTTCCCTGAAAGATAATCCACACTCTCGATAGGCCACTATCCTTCTTTTGTCGAACTGGGATACTTGATCAAACGATGATCACTGTTTACCACAAGGCATAATTGATCGTTTTTGTTAAACCACAAGAAAAACACAATTGCCGAACTTGAAGTGGCGCCATAGGCGCGCGTGATGTGCGTCTGTGCTGAAATTCTAATCATTTGCATATCTCACCTCCTCTAATGCATTTTGTAAATTTCATGTTATTTGCATGCTTACTTCAGGGTGTTGCATTTATGGTGACCAGCAGTGTATTATTTTTCTTTGCTCATTTTATTTGAGCTATGAATAGCAAAACCTTCAAAACTGCTGTTTTAACACTATTTTTTTCTATGATATGAGTATTTATACTCGCACCATAGGTGAAACTATTTTTATGGTATATGGCAGCAGATTGTGAATGTAATAATGTAATGTTAATGTAATAATGAATTGTTATTAATAATAAACCAAATAGCCTAATTAATGTATTGTGATTCCTTTTCAATGGTGCCTTTCTTTCAGTTCATACAGTTGAATATAAATTGCGAGAAACTATTCTAAAAATTGTAATAGATACTTACCCAACTATGGTGAGGATAAAGCATTGCGTCAAAGTTGGCGCGAACTTTTCAAATGGATAAGGATCGACTTCTCCGAGAACATCAGATGAAGAGTTTGTGAAGTTCTGTAAATAATACTTTGTTGTAGAGTTTGTAGTAAATAATGTGAATAAATTATCACTGTTACAAATTTTGTATACATATAAATAATTTTAGTTTATGTAAATTGCATTATCTGTTATATAATATAGTATAAAAATCCTCAGAAGTGGAGCAGCGTCGGGGAAATAGAGATACAGGGTTAAGTCCATTTAATGTTGAAGCCAAACTGGTGATGATTTTGTCGCCAGATTTGGCTCAAAACTGCTAAAATTCACCAAGCTGGGGAAACATTTAGTGATATTTACATAAAAATTTTGCAGATGTAAAGGAGAATGAGGAAATAAAAAGCGAAAGAGAAAGGGGGGATAAGATCAAGAAAAATTAGATTATTTTGAAGCCCATAAGCAAAGAAGTTAGAATGTATAAGGAAATAGAAAAGAATCTGAGATTGTGCTAATAAGAATCAATAAGAATCAACGTTCTTAACTCGGAGTGCGGAAAAAATTGAGATCTCTTTGTACAACTAGGGAACAAAGAAGTTGGAATACAGGAAAAAGAAATTTTGCAACAGGAGAGAATTAACACTCTGGTGAGACCAAAAAGGAGATGCTTTTATAAAACTTAAATGAATAATCTCTAATGTTAATGATATTCTCCCTAATAAGAAGTTAACAGAAATATTGAAAACTGAATGCGCATGTGATTGGTCGTGTGTATGCTCGCTATTTAGAATAAGGGTTAACGAGAATGAAGTGTCATACCGAGTAATCCAAGTTTGACCAAAAAACGCCAGAGTTAGATTATTGAAGACCAAAGCATTCCGCTCGTTTGGAAATCATACGTTGCAAAATTATGTATAAATCCGTAATCAAGATTATAATCGACGGATGTCTCAATTTTATATTACATTTTAAGAAAATTCATAGGAAAACTGAGAGAATTTCGAAAAAATATAGAAGATGGTTTCAAGAGAAGTGTTGTAGATTAGGCATCCCTGTCAAAGGTTATATGTGAAACTGTCTTCATTCCAACAATTATCTGCGACATAGATGCATTGAGTTTCCATTCGGCAGAGCTTCTACGTCTTGAATGAAATCGGATACTATCCAGAGAACCTGGCTCTTCATGTTAATCAGATGCTTTAGGATGGTCTCCACGGAGGTAGTATGCGTGGGCCTCTTTCTGAGAGCAATATTTTACACATTACATTTCTACTTAATGCAATATTACTGTAGAGCCATTACGTTGTTTTGAAGCAAGAGACATGAAAAATGAGCAATGCCCTCGTCGGGAGTCGAGCTTGACCTCTCGAATACGCGCCGAATGTACTAACCATTACATCACGAAGCCATGCAGAAAGGAGAAAGAAAATACCTTATATACTCGCCCTTTCAGGGCGACTGTGGATTAGGGTATCCAGTCGCCAAATCCTGGTGGTGAAGAAACATCATTCATCATTCATCAGCGCCTTTTAGTTCTGGCGCCACTGTAGATACATTAGGTTATTAGGAAGAAGGAGATATACAAAATGAGCAATGACCTCGCAGGTACTTGAATCTCGGACTTCTCGAATACGCGCCGAGTGTACTGACCCTTACTCCACGAAGGCATGCAGAAAGGAGGGAAAAATACCTTATATTGCAAAAAATTTTATCGAGAACAGTTTGACTGCGCTGTGCTTTTCAGACATTTGACATTAATAAAATACACCCTGCACAGAGAAAATATGTTATATAATACAGATATCCTTCCCAGGTATGTGAATATGGTGTCTCTATACTGATGGGTCCGCTGTAGGGGGAGAAGTTAAACTTTTCCTTTGTAATTTTTTTCTATTATGGAGCTGAGAGACTTGTGAGAAATGTAAGTTAAATAAATATAATTCTTTATTTCAGACGGAAGCCACTTCTAGTTATTTTGTTCTAAAGTGGATACTAAAGTGGATAAAAAGAGTCCTAAAAATCGGAAGTACAATCGATGCATGTATAGACAGTTTATCAATTTGTGGGGTTTCTCACTCTTTTTGTTTAAAGCAAACGTCGAGGAACCTAACGAACTGTGTAGCGACTTATCGCTGAATTCAAATAACTAAAGATGTAGACTCAAATATGGATTAAACTACCCTTTATTTCACTTAGATAAGAATAACAGTTGGCCTCTTTCTCGGGCTTAATCTCAGATAAGAAATAAGAACTGAACTATAACTAACTAAGAGAGACTTAGCTGAAGCTAAACACAAATATCTAACGTAGTTGGCCCTGAATTTAAACTAGCCGGCGAATGTCAAAAGGCACGCAATATACGGCCGATCGTAACAGCTTCAAAGAGAGACTTAGCCCGAAGGCAATCACGTGCTACTCAAAATTCCTAGCTCTCTCCCACGAAGCAAGTTGAACCTTCCTTAAATACTTTTTCTAACTCATTTGCATTCAACGCGATTCTAAAAACTCAATCTGGTAGGGAGTTGTAAGTGGAAACAAGAATTGATAGGAAAGGTTATCTCAATTAAAATAACTGTTATAAAATTAAAATATACTTTACAAAATTTAAAGGCATTTTTAGCGCAAACCAGACAAATAGACTGATACTAGATATAAAAGAACTTCATTTTGAACTCCTGGAGAGAGATATAATTAATCTGAATTCGGTAAAAGCGTAAAAGCATATGCGACTTTTACTGTCAGTGAGAGGGCGAACGCTTTGTCCAAAGATGCTATTACAGGAAATGACACTCAAATCATTGAACTACAGGGATTGAAATGGGAAGCTGTGACCCTCATGAGAAATCATACCTACAAATTATGGAAAGAAAAATGGGAAATACCTGAAAAAATTAAAACTATATGATTTTGGTGACAATAAAAATTAACAAAAATTTAGTGACATAGATTTTAATCAAATTTTAACGGGTCATTGGATGTTTTTCTGCGTACTTTGAAAGATTTAATCTTTAAAACTCCGTCCTCTGTGGCAGATGCAAATGAAACTGGAGATGCTGAAATATCCGTAGAGACCTGCCTACTTTTAAAAGATGCAAGGAATGATTTTATCATAAACGGAACTTTTAAAGTAGAATGGCTTTTATCAGATTTTGATAAGGCGAGATGTCTAACAAGAAAGGTGGTGAATTACATCAATAATAATCAGTTAACACGTTGAGCGCGGCGCCGGTCCCTGGGAACCGGCAGTGAACTTTCCATGCGGCCGGCGTCAGTCCCTAGGGACCGGCACTGGAATTTTCGTTTGGCTCGCGTCGGTCCGCGGGACCGACAATATTAAAGTTAAAAAAATAAATATAGTCTCAATGAAATGTGATCAAATTTAGTTTTAATGAAATATATTGAAACATTCTAAACAAAAATACGGCTTAGCTTTACGGCTTGGCTCGCTGCCGGCTGAACGGAAAGGACAGCAAATTCGGCGCCGCGCTCAACGTGTTAACCGTGGAAGTTCTACTTCAGTGTGTGTGCTGTGTTTTTACCTATAACTGGGATAGCCCAATTAAACCATACGGGCACTTCAGTTCAGGTGGGTGGGTTACTTCCCCAAACAAACAGACAAATTCACCTAGTGCAATATTTCCAACATTTATATGTCCAGTCCTTCTTTATTTAGTAGGGAAATCCTATTTTTATAACCTGTATCAAAGCAAAATCAAGTAAACGTGATCAGCATAATTGCTATTATCTGTTCATGAGATACATGCTGAGTTCAAACGGATTTAACTCGAGAAGTATTCACTTCAAAACATTTAGTAAATTATTAATATAATTATTACAGTGCAAAATTATCATTCGCTTTTGGATAAGCGAGTTTGATTCTGCAACACCTAGACTATTTGCAAGCGAGAACTGTAAATAACAAGTCTTTTAAACAATGCCATTGAAACGTCATAAAGATATGCTGAACGTTCTACTTAATGAATAAAAGACATAGTAAATATGAACGTTACGTATAACTGTGTCACAAAGTGACAGTGAAACAGTTAATATTGACAGATTGTTGTTGTGCTATAAATGTGACATTTTGAGGATGATTCTTAATTCTAAAATTAAGCTCATTGCATTTCTATGCTTTACATGATAAATGTTTTACTTGCATTTTTATCTACAAAAGGGACACGGATTGTAAATATTCACGTGTTTTTCATTTCGAAATCTCATAAATTTAGACAAGATTAGCAATTCCTAAAAAATGTAAATTTTTTAGGAAACAAAAAAAAAAATAATAATTTTAAAAAGTATAGCGTCTTTTTATGAGAAAAAGGAGGAGAATAATAAACAAAATAAAGTAAAAACATAAAAAATAGTAAAGTCTGAAAGCTTTCAGATTTTACATTACGGCCAAAGGGACGTTTTATTTTAACGTTTTGTGTGCTACCTTCATTTATTAAATATCATGTTCTTTGCACATAAACCATAAAATTCAATTCAACAGAAATATCGCAAAATAATTTTAAAATGAGCATATCTTATTTTTTTCGATACACAATCTCGCACGCTAGATTTTTTTTTTTTTTTTTTTTTTTTTTTTTTTTTTTTTTGGTGTGTGTGTGTGTGTGGCACAGCGTTGCCATAGCTCGCTTTAAAATCGTTGAGTTTGTTAATCAAAAATTCGTTAAAGTGTTGCAAAATATGAAATCGATAATAAAACAAACTCCAAATTAGGGCTTCCAGATACTCATATTCAGTGGCAGATTACGTTATGCAAAAATTAATGACTGTAGGTACCGTTGTTTTATCACAGTGTGAGAAACATACATACATTTATGCGGTTTCTTCATTATTTAAATTCTTTAATTATAACGCAGGGAGATAATATTTGGTGGTAACAATTTGAAAAGTGATTCGCCGTTTACAGTAAATCGACGCAAAATGCCAAAACGAAATTAATAGCCCTGCTGGGCTAATAATAAAATAAAATTTTTAAGTAATTTATGTGAAAAAATTTTTGATTTCCAAATAACAGAATTTTTTTTATGCAGATAAAGCTAAAATTTCTCGTAAATTATAAACGCATTAAA